AGCAGCAGCAGCAGCAGCAGCAGCAGCAGCAGCAGCAGCAGGAAATGCATGCAAATGATGATCTACAATTAGAAGATGCTTTTGTTCTTGATGTTGCAAACAAAAATAACTGCATTGAGGAGACTCTTCAACAAGCAAACAGCAAAAAACTATTCGCGTAAGGTATATGGGCTAGGGTTTAGGGTTTAGGGTTTAGGGTTTAGGGTTTAGAATGTAAGGGTTTATTTGTTTTTTTTTAATTGTATTACTAAATTTCTTTTATTATTTGTTTTATTAAATTATTCTTCTCTGTTGTTTTATATACTTATATTGTTCTTTTAATTGATTTGTGTTTCTTTTAAATGAATAACTTTAAATAAATAAATTAAAATAAAATAAAATAAATTAAATTAAATTTATTTTTTAATTTGTCTTTCAGCTGGTATGCATATTTACTGGAGACCTCAGCGCTGAATATTTTTGATGAAAACGAAGAGAAGATAAAGAAGAGAACGGATGAAAAAGAAAATAAAAAAGAAGCAGCAATTAATAATAAATTGATTTTAGATAAAATAATACAAATGTATAAACAAGGAGAGGCTTGGGGATGTCTTGTTAATTTATTAATCAGAACAAATAACGAAAAAGAAGCAGAAAATATATGCAAACAAACAAAAGATAAAAATGCTGCTCTTGAATTTATTACAAACATAAAAAATAAAAATAATTTTCTTCAAAATGTTCAAACACTCCTAAACGCCAACTGCTTATTCGAAGCTATTCGGTGTGTATAAAAGATAAATTAAAAATAAATTAACAATAAATTAACAATATATTAAAAGAAATAAAAAGATATAAATACAAGCAACAGAATTATTTAAGTCTAAACCCTAAAGAAATAAAAAGAAATGAAAAAAATTGAAAGAAATACAGTACCTTAAACCCTAAACCCTAACCCCTAAACCATAAACCCTAAACCCTAAACCCTAGACCCTAAACCCCAAAGAAATAAAAAGAAATAAGGAGATTTAAAAGCAATATATGAAAAGAATAAATGAAGAGATTTGCAAGCAAGTAAATGAGTAAAACAAAATAAAAGAAAAGAATAGACAAATAAACAAATAAATAACATTAAAATATACAAATAAAGAATTATAAACATAAAAAAAATAGAAAAATAAATCAGCGAATAGAAAATTAAACAAATTTAAAAGAAACAAACAAACTTAAACGCAAAGAAATAACCCTAAACCCTAAACCCCAAACCCTAAACCCTAAACCCTAAACCCTAAACCCTAGAACCCTAAAAGTTCAAAGAAAGAGAGAAAGAGACGGAGACAGAAAAAGATAAAGAGAAGAATAAAGACATAAAAACAACAGACAAAGACACAACTATATC